TGAACTTGTGCAGGATTTGCTACTCTGGCTGTGTATATATATGGGGCGCAAAGGGATTCATCCCATAGTACTCTAAGAACTGGCTGGTGTCATTGCAGGACCTTTCTCAATTACTTTTTAGTGGTTTTGGGAATCTGGGGAGGCCCAAGTTGACTGGAAGCTGGCAAACATTGTCCCAGTTTTCAAGAGCAAGAAAGAAGATCTTGGTAATTACAGGCCTATCAGTCTCACTTCAGTGCCCGGCAAAATCATGGAAAAGGTTATTCCAGGAATTACTAAAAAACGCCTGAAAGACAATGCAGTCATGGTCAACACAAGTACACAAGGGAGGGGCCTATTTAATGAAATTAATCTCCTTTAGTTACAAACTTACCCACTTTGTTGAGCGGGGAAGCCAGTGGATGTAATGTCTTTGAATTTCAGCTAAGCCTTCAGTACTGTATCTCACAGTATCTTTGTACCATTCTGATTCTTCTGGACAAAATGAGACAGCATCTGTGATTTACATACTTGGGTCTTCAGAATTTAACTTAGGTCAGTTAGCAAGTTGGGGTCCTAAATACCAATTAGACGCTAGGCTTAGACTAAACCTAAGTACACTTCTCGAGCTTCTGCGTTAAGTGTACTTGGGCCTCGCTTTATTAATCTTTCAGTGTCTCTTGTCATAATGTGTTAGGCTTTGAAGTCCATCTTGGCTGTAGGAGGATAACTCATTTCTGTAGAAATGAATTTGTTTCTCTACCTCTGGCACTGGGAACGCCAGGTTCTCTGAAGCGACCAGCTCAGACTTGTTTCAAAACAAGTGCACCTTGACTAGTCAGAATATAATTAGTATCTTACGTGTTCCCAAGGTTTATATTTCAAAGCTTTCGCATTACTCACTGCAATTAAGATGCACCAAGTTTTATAGTTGTTGTTCTAACTCTCTAATTAGCGATTTTAAAAATACACATATTTTACATTGTCGTGCTTTTCCATATGGCCAAATATTTAAAGAATATCATTTTAGTCCAAATAAAAGCTTTTTTAAAAGCAATCAGTGTACCAGCCACGATAAAGGACTTTGTAAATTTTTTCAAGAGAACACAAAAACTACAGAAGCTTGACAGCCCCTTTTACTGAAGCCCCAACCCACCATGAAAAATGTACAGTCAACAGTATCTTAAATGAATCATAATATAGCTTACATCTTTCTTTAATGTCTGATGACAGTGCCAGAAAAGTTAGAAAAGATCTTACTAAAACTGGCAGTAGCATACTATGGTTGAGCAAGTCACCAAAGCACCCACTTTGCAGCCAGAAGTAATTACACTCACCTGCTAATCTCTTCTGGAGAAGCTCAATCTAACAGGCATTCACAGATTGCATCTATCAGATAAGAACTCCTTGCAAGAGACAGAGGCTGCCTTTCTTAAAAACATAGCTAACAGATGAAGCAGCACTTTCTGTGTTTTATGGTGCAGTGTACATGCATTAAACCCTTTGAAATAAAAGTGTCCGTGTTGGAGGTATGTAATGATGATAAGGAATTGCTGTGTTTGCTTCCTTCCTCTGAGAAGGTGCAAACCTACATCTCAAGACCACAGCTATGAAGTTGTTAACTTTCACAAGCTCAGGAACCTCAAGATTAAGAATCCCTTGCATGTATTCTTAACAGACACTCAGTTGCTCCTGTTGCTCTTGTGTTTATTTACCTCTCTTATTAAAATAATGCTCAAATGAGACAGGATCTTGAATCTTCACTCTACCTATCCAGTATGCCTCATTCCAAGGAAACCATGAGTTAATTCTGTTGAGTCAGTATAAATCAGTATGAATTAGTTTCAATCAGTACAATAGTTTTCTAGGCAGGTAGCCTCAGAGGGCAATAACCATGTGATACAGATTTAAGCTGAGAAGCATGAGTTCTATAGATCATTTTTTGGAGATCCACAGCACTACATCCATGTAAGCACGTGCAACCTGCAACTTCACCTAAGACAAATAACAGTATATAGTGCAAGCAACAGGAAAAGACATTACTGAACTGAGTATTATCTACTTTCAAAGCAAAGAGAAACTAAAGAATGTCAAGAAAAAAAATTAAAAGAATGGATTATAATGTAGGCAGAACTGCGTACCTAACTTTTATCCAAAAGTCTCTAGCAGCTAAACTGCTTGATGCAGCTTACCAACAAGCAGCTATAAGGCAGGTACTTTATTCAGGTGGTTACAGCATGGGAAATTTTAAGTCCTCTGTTTTCTGTGGATTATATTGAAGCACATTAAACAGCCTTGAAACATCATTACTTCCAGTAAAGTCAGGAAGAAAATTATCAGTCTTTGCATTACCACAAATACATATATATACATACCAATATCAATTATACCAAAACCTCAAATTGTAAATGTGGAAAGTAATTTTGGAGTACCAAGATAAGATGGTTGGAATAATTTTATTACTCCCTTTTTAATTTTTCATTATGGCCGTAAACTCCACCTCTTTGTATCTGTGGTTATTGTACTTGTAACCCAAAAACTATTTGTATGTGTTAGCAATGTGAAAAGACTCCAGTCTCTCCCAGAAGCTCCTATTCACAAGTGTATTTGGGCCTTGTTAATTTAAAACTTCAATCACCTTGAGCAAAAAATAATCAGTTTAGCATACCTAACTTTCTGAGTGCTTGAATATAATAAAAAATAATCACTGTAGCACAGCATATAGACTTTTCCTTTTCTTTTCTTTTTTTTTTTTTTTTTTTTTGGAGGGCCTGTATTAGCATTTGCTTGTAATCCTTTCAAACATAAAGCACTGCAGGTCATCCATCTGGTCACATCTGTTTAAGAATAACAGTAGTGTTTGCACATACTGAAAAAAACAGAGTGCCACATTCCTGTGAGTAACCTCGCATATGGGATACGAAATTACATCACTGCTCCTACTGGTATTACCTACACTGGTGGGAGCAAGAAGGCCTGTTATGAAACTTACACACCTTTCTTACAAAACAAGACAGGAAGATGGATTATTTCCTTCTTACAGTGAATCAATTGCACATTGACATGACTGCAGGTACTGCAGGAGTAGATCTGACTATTAGCAAAAACGCTGAAGACTTTATCACTGTATTATCTAAATACACTGGTAGAAACAAATCACGTGAGAATGCTACAAGATTTCCTTCTCATTTTCACAACTGAGCATTCTCCTTTTCTACAACATAGGAGCTTTTTATTTTTAAGATTTAAAACCTCATTCTTCAGAAGCAAAATTCTGGATGCATTATTTTTGCAGCACTGAGACAGTCAGGTGCTATAATGCATTAAACACGATGTTACCCACCCACATTCCAATGGAATACACCATCTCTGGTTCATTATGCATCCATTCCAACAGAGCAATACAAAACACCTTGCAGGCTCCACCAACCTGCTCCAAAGTGCAGCTGCTACCAGACAATCACAGAACCATTAGGGTTGGGAAAGACCACTAAGATCATCTGGTCCATCCACCAGCCCACCCCCACCATGCCTACTGACCACATCTCTCAGTGCCATATCTCCACCTTTCTTGAGCACTCCAGGGACAGTGACTTCACCGCCTCCCTAGGCAGTCTGTTCTAGGGCCTCACTGCTATTTCTGAGAAGAAATGCTTCCTAAAGCCCAAAGTGAACCTTCCCTGAAGCGACTTGAGACCATTTCCTCTCAGCCTATTAGTTACCTGGGAGAAAAGGTCGACTCCCACCTTGCCACCCCCTGCTTTCAGGCAGTTGTAGAGAGCAATAAGATCCACCCTGAGCCTCCACTTCTCCAGACTGAACGCACCTAATTCCTGCATCCACTCTCCATAAAACTTGTGTTCCAGATCCTTCACAGCTTTGTTGCCCTTCTCTGGACATGCTCCAGGGCCCTAGATTGGCATCCCTTGATTTCTCATTGCAGCAAGAAGAAAAAAAAAAAAAAAAAGACAAAAAGAAGAAGAAAAAAAAAAAAAAAAAAAAGAACATTCTGTATTTTAGCGTAAGTTCTAACAGCACAGTTGGAATATCTACTCTGGGTTTGTTATGCTTTAGTATGAACGGATAGTTCAGGCTGCATGTTGATTTATTGTTGGCGATTTTGGAATGCAAGAGGAACGCATATGATAGCCGTAGTCCTGGAGGGGGGTTGCACTTACATTCATGTGCGTGCACGTGCTTGGTGTTCACTTTCTTTGTAGAAATTACCCTTCCCTGAAGCAGGGACAGAGCCGCTCTCGAGGAGCACATCGGAACCAGCACGGTCACCGCTGCGCGCCGCAGCCAGATGCGCTGCCAGTAGTCCTCACTGCACATCTACCTAAGGGAGCTCTCACAGAATTCACACACGCGCACACGGCCCTCCTGGCCACTGCCACATCCCCGTAGAGGTGTCTGCGTACCTCTCGCACAGCTGCACCGCAAGGACACAGCGACCCACGGGCGTCACTCTCGCAGTCCCTCACACCCGAGCGCCCTCCTGGAACAAAGCGCACCGCGCACACCACGGCCGGAGCGCGGCAGCCGCTCTGCAGCGCATCCGCCGTGCCGCCAGCGCATCCGCGGCCAGTCCGCTGCGGGAAGGAAGGCCGCGGGGAAGCGTACAAAGCGGCGCAACCGCGCCATCCCGAAGCCATGGCACGAAGCGCCACGCAGGCCCGCGCCCCGAGCCCGAGTCCCTCCGGAAGGCGCTCCGGCCCAAAGCGGTCCTCCCTCCTCCCGCCCCTCCCCCGCGGCTCCGACCGCCTGCGGGAAAGGCTTCGAGCGGCCCGAGGGGCCGAGCGCGCGGCCGGCAGAGGGGAGGAGCGGGCACTGCTGCGCGCACGGCGGCTGGAGGAGAGCGGGCGGCAGCACCCGCCGCCCGTTTGGGAAGCCGAGGCCGCACCCCGCAGCGCCTGGCGCCGGCACTCACCCCATCCCGCCGCGCGGCGCCGCCCCTTTAAACCCGCGCAGGCCCCGCCCCTCCCGCCGGCCGCCGCGCCGCGGGCGGGACGGAGCGCAAGATGGAGGCGGCGGACGAGGAGCGGAGGGTGCCGGCTGCCTTCGTGGCCGCCCTGGGGCCCGAGGCCGGCGGCGCCGCGGCCGCGGTGCTGCCCGAGCGGCTGCAGCGGCGGGAGGCTGAGCGGCAGCGCGGCGTGGCGCGGCAGCGGGAGCTGAAGGAGGCGCAGGCGGTGCGGGAGGAGGGCAGCGAGTTCTTCGCCGCCGCCTTCGGCCGGGAGCGGGAGGCGGTGGAGGCGCTGCTGGCGGCGGGGCGGCCCGAGGAGGCGGCGGCGCGGCTGCAGGGGCTGCAGAAGCTGTTGACCGAGAGCGTGCGCTTCCTGGCTCCCTACGAGGTACGGCAGGGCCAGGAAGCCGTGTCCCGGCTGCAGGCCGACCTAGCGGCCTGGCGGCAACAGCTGCAGCCCAAGAAGAAGTTCGCCTTCCGCAGCCTGAAGAAAGAGGCGGCCCCGGGCGCCGAGCCGCGCCCCGCCGAACCCGAGGAGTCGGCCGAGCCGCCGGCCCCGGGCAGCGCCGAGGGGGAGCCGGGCGGGCCTCCGCTGTGCGGCTTCAGCCGCGCCGAGGATCGAGAGCTGGAGCTGGGCCCGGAGGAGCTGCTGCAGCGCGACGTGGTGCTGGAGGAGCTGCGCGGCTGCCGGGTGCGGCTTCGCGGCAACCCCAACACGCTGCGGATGCGCGAGTGTCGCGGCTGCACCGTGCTGTGCGGGCCCGTCTCCACCTCCGTGCTGGTGGATGGCTGCAGCGAATGCCAGCTGGTGGTGGCCTGCCAGCAGCTCCGCACGCATCGCACCCGCGGCAGCCGCTTCTACGTGCAGGTGACCAGCAGGGCCGTCATCGAGGACTGCAGCGAGGTGTCCTTCGCGCCCTATGCATGGAGCTACCCGGGCATCGAGGCGGACTTCGAGTCGTCCGGGCTGGATAGAAACAGAAACAACTGGAACCTGGTGGATGACTTTGACTGGCTGGCGAGCGACAGGCCCTCACCCAACTGGAGCCTCATCCCCGAACAAGAGCGCGTCAGCTGCTGGGACTGACCGCGAGCGATGGAGCCTGCCGGCAACGTGCTGATCCGCAGGCGGGAGGGCTTCATCCCTACGGGCCGTAAAATGATTGTGGGTGGTGCTTCAGTGGGGAGTTACAGCCTGTGGCTGGTTGCTCTCCTTGAAAAATTTCACTCGGATGTAGTTTACTATTACTAAACTTGCTGCTGTAATCTGTATGTATCGCTGTTGGGTCGGCCAACTGCTGCAGTACCTCATTGCTGAATTTCTTTAATTAAAATGGGGCTGGGGGCACCGGTATTCACGTGGCAGCAGTCCTTGATTGGAGCTGCTGTGCTGCTGTCACTTAGCCAGGAAGAATCCGAGCTCCCTGCTAGTGCAAGCTGTAGTCAACTGAAAAGAGGGAATGCCAAATCTGTCCCATTTCTGTGGTGAAGCAATTGCAGACTGCTGTTACGGATATGGGGAAGGGAGATATTCAGTGAAGCAGCAAACAGAGGATTAAAGAGAGGGAGTTTGTACATGGGTACTGTATGTCAGGTGAATCCTGGGCCGCAGTGCGTCTGGGACCCAGGTTCTGCTGTGTGGGTGACAACTGTTAGTCAGACTTCTATTTCAAGGAAAAAAAGGTTAATGAAAATGTAATGTTCTTCTACTGTATTAATGATTGAAATCTATCTCTAGAAGGTAGATAAATACTGAACAACAGCAGTCTCAAAATATGCTAGAGGAAGCTGCTTCTGTAAACAGCAGGAACCCGAATAAGATTAGATTTGTATGGCCTGAGAGGTACACGCATTGTTTGCTGACAGACATGACAAGTTTCAGGGCAGCAGTGTTCAGACATGTCCCAGTGGTTGGTTTTTCTGCTGGCAGCCAGTGAGCTTTGCTGTGATCATAGCTCACAGCACTGCCACTGGCTATCGTGTGCGGTGCTGACAGAGGGACTTCATAAAAAGTGATAACAAAGCACAGTATTTGGGTTCCAGAATAACAACTTGCATAAAGGCCCTTGGTGCACAGTTACCTCTCAAGTCCCATTTATTCACTCTTGTTCAATACCAGAAAATAACTGCATTATGATGGAGGTTTCTTTTTATAATGACCTCTTAACAGTACGAAGGAAATATTACCTTGCCTAAACAGCAGCTCAAAAGTTGTATTTAAGAACTCTGCCTAATATTTATGCTGCCCTATCATTGTATGTGCCTCTAATACTGATTAATCCATCAAAGCCATGTCAGTGCTATGAGGAGTATTTTGAGTTCTTAACTGTTTTTGGAGCAACAGAGAAACTTAGCCTGTTTTTTCAGTACATTTAATTTAAAAGGGAATTAAAAAAGGGTGTTTTTTGTTTTTTATTTTCACAATTTCACCGTTGTTTACTTCTGTTCATGTACACTTTTTTGTGAATGAACTGGATTTTGCATTTCAGTTACTTGTTTTGAGTTGTTCCTTCAACATGCATTGACAGCATCATAAAATCATTCAGAGAGAACACCTATACTGTTGCTTTAACATATGCTGGTTTTAATAGCTGCTAAAGGGAGATGATTAGATGCAACTCCAATATATCTTAATTTCAACACATTGATGTACAGAGCCTGATTAGATAATATTGCTTCCCCACATATGCTGGTAATGACAGACCCATTCTTGGGTCACGATAGCAAGATGTTTGGCCTGTTATAAAAACAAAGCAAAAGCCCACACAGACACCTTTGTTCTGCTAGCCAAAGGCTATAAGCATTTCTGTTTCCTCTCTATGGTGCTGGACAGTGACACATAGAACTGTGGGCAGCACCACATGGTTGCTTCCCAGCAGGCTGTGAGACTGCCAGCTCACTGCATACCTGTGCTGGCTGCTGGGAATCACCTCACAGCTTTGTGTGAATAAGTGGTGTAAGTTAGAAACACTACATGCTGACGTCAGTTTCTGTTGAGAAGAGCTTCCCAGTGACCCTTTCCAAAGGTCAGTGATTGAGATCTCAGTTCACATGTATTTCTTTGCAAAGTGCTTCTGTCAAATCAGAATTACTCTGTCCTTCAGCAGTGTAACTTTACAACAAATTGCTCCTGGCGATTACTTTCCCTTAAATGTTTATCATTACTTCAGTAATACAAATTTGCTAACTGGATCTTGGTCTCTGGCATGACACAAGATGAGCAAATCCAATTTCAGGCATGAGGATATTTGGTCAGCCAAGTTTTTAATATACGCTCATGGTTCTGTGTACCATAAAATATGCACCCAGGTAGTTAAACATCTCTGTGCCCTTTTCAGAAAATAGAAAGTGCTAGAAAAGTTTTGTTGGCATATTCACAGGCTGTGTTAGTGCTGACATAGCAACTTTTGGAAATCTTTTAGTGGAAGAAACAAATAACTGGGCATCACTACATAGGGAGTGACTTAAAATTACTTCAGGAAGAGGATGTCACAGGCACCAGCAGGACACCACTGCTGTCCCAGAAGGCGGCCTTACTCCTGGCAGCAGCAGTGCAGAGCCCCTGTTCACTGACCAGCATGGTGGCCAGCATTCCAAAGACATCTGTAGGTAGAAGAGGACAATTAAACACAGGGCAAGTGAGAGAACAGCCACTGCTAAGGTCCCAAAAGTGCAGTTCATCACTTGATAAGAGATCCATCTTCCAGTAAAATCTAGTGGGATGTGGTAACTCAGATGTACGGATATGTAAAAAGTGTTTAAAAGCATGAAAGTAGTACACAGGAAAATATTCATAGAATAGTTACATGTGTAGTAATCCTCTTTAAAATATTTAGTCTGTCAGTAAACCAATTTCTTCTAGCAATGATAGACTTTAGGGTAACATTTTGGAAATAGTATCTGGGGGATACTTTGGCAAGGTCTAGAGAGTGGGGCTATCTAGACTTTCACTGGAACTGCTTACTAAGCAAATACTAAACACTGAATGAGTAAGAGCTGAATCTACAGTGCTTGTAGCTTGGTTGTGTTTACCTTTTGCCTCAACTGCCAAAAGTCATCACAAAAATCACTTCCTGCAATTTTCAGGTTAGTCTGGGTGGTTTACTCCAGAGGACTGATGATACTTTCAGTATATTAGTGATGAAATGCATTCAGTGAGAGTGCCTGGTTTTACCAAGTCAGGAATTCTATGCCATCTTGTCTCTGTGGTGGAGCAGCTCACGCATGGTCATATTCGAGCAGTGTGAGGAGACATACCTGGAGCTGTCTGGGCAAGGGTGAAACGGCAAGGGACTCAGCTGCCGCGTTGTCCTCTTGAGGCCTGCTCCTGCAGTACCCAGAGGCAGGGCCAGGCACTGCTGGGGCAACAGCTGGCAGGAGCTGTGCCAGTCTGTCGGTGTGCTCCTGGGTCAAGGAGACTCTCAGTGCCGGCCGGTCAGAGCTGCTTTGTGTCCCTGCTAATCGCAGCTTGCAGGGAAGGAGAGTGGCACGCTGCTCCTTGCTTCAATATAGTAAGCAATGCTGACACAAAGAAAATTGCCTGACTGCCTCTCCTAGGCCTGGAGCCAGCACTGCTTAATGTCTTACCTATTGGAGCTTGCAAGAATCTCCCCAAAGGCCTGTGGGGAAAAAGCAGTTGTGTTGCTCAGCCTTGGGTTGAGCAGAGCTGTTTTTGTGGCTGAGCAGATAACAATAAAGTCAGGCTCACAGTCTTGCTACGGGGAGTGTAAAAGTAGCACATCTGCTTTGAAAGCAAACTGATTTCATGCTACTTTGCCCAGAAGGAAGGCACAGGGCCTAAGTCGTAATACAAGGAAGAAGATGGAACGCAGAGGAGGTTGTCCCACCAGGTGAGCAGGAATACCAAGAGCTGATTGCTGCCTGCAGTCAGGGCAAACAGCAGCTGCGTTTGTATGTTTTCATCTTAGCACCTGCACTGTTCATAATGTGAGACCAGAGCAACATTTTCTCCAGATCTGTAGCTTTGGTTTGTGTTTTATTGTCACCAGAATAAACAAGGCACTTCTTTAGAACCACACGCACACAAGATTACTTTTGCTAGGCTTTATAGGCTGAAAAACAAATGCCTGCTGGGGCCGTGGTTATGAATACATCAAGATAATAAACAGCACAATAAAGCTAGATGTAAATTGGCCCTGAACAGAGGGCTCACTGGCAGAAAAGCAGAAAGTTTCTGAGCAGTACAAAGCACTGAAGCATAGAACAATTTTCCACAGAGAGTTGCAAGAGCAAACAATCTTACAAAGAAGTTTGGTTGGCTTGTCCTTCAGACATCTGCAAAGCAAGAGTTACTGTGTTAGTTCACCACAGCAACCATGCTCAGCTTTTTAAATCTCATGTGTTCATGAACTAAATAAAATAGCTTAAAAGACAGTTCTTCAGCACTGCACAGACCTATGAGTGTTCATATTCCTTGGCATTTTGGGATATAGCACAGACAAATGGTGAGAAAGCTTGACCCTAGGGAAGCAACCAAAAGCTTTGCTGCTGTTTCCAGTGAGGCCAGCAGTGCATCTGGACATCCCATCCTGAGCATGCAGCCAGTGCATTTCTGTCCCTCCCTTGGGTATCATCACCTTGGTGCTCAGCTCTCCCCTCTTACTTCCTCCTCCCCATCTGACCCTCCCCACTTGCAATTGTGGCGTTTTTTTCTTTTCTGGGTAGGGCTGTCTGATCCACACAAGAAAGCTTATGGTCTGTACTGTACTGAAAAGCCAGTTCCATCACCTGCAAGGAAAAAAAATCTGTACCACTTGTGGAATTTCAACATTTGTATTCACAACCTGATCCAATTTGTCTGATTGATTTCAGGTTCCATCTGTTTTGCTGAGATGTTTTCCAGCAGTGACTACTGTGAGTCTTTTGTAAGCTTCTTCCAATTTCCAACATATTTCCCTCCTGTTTCTGCAAGTACAAATATTGATTTATGATTCATTCTTTAGCAGTCAACCCTATGCTTTAAGCATTACAGTAATACAAGTAAACACTCATAACGAGCACCTCGTGGTTCAACGACAGACTGTGCTTCCCAACACACTACTCACGCTGTGGATAAAGGATGGGTGAAGTGCCAGGAACTGTCCCTAGTAAATCTGTACTGAAGACCCATAGTACACCTAGTACATCACATTGCCCTTCAGGACATACAGCAGCCACAGCACTGGATTCAGCCACACACCTCTGTTCCCAGCCTCAAGACCCAAGGGCACTTTATGTGACATGCATACAGCAGGCTACCCAGTTGCTTGTATGCACAGGAGGAAAAGTCACAAACCAGGCTTTTTCTGACAGTTATTTATACAACGTGGTACTGCCATTGCAGTTGTCCTTCAACACTGCAACAATCAGAAAGATCAGCAGAGTGGAATGTCAATACAAAAGATACAATAACAAAGGGACTAGCACAAACAGAAAGGCATTACAAACGCAAAGCACTCACCTGTCTCCAAAGATCTGATTTCACAGGAAAAAATTGACAGGGAAAGATGCTCAGAAAGAGATCCATCCCTCGTGTCAGTCAGCCCTTACATGGGGTCTAAGAGAGCTGCAGCCGGGCTCCACCCCTTGCAGTCACACAGAATTGAATTGCCTTCACCTGTGCCCCCAGGACTGACCCTGTCCTTTCCCCAGGTGATCAATCATTGATTCAGGCCGTGACTCAACAGTTGCCATACACACACATTGCACAGTTACAAATTCAAGCAAAACTACCAACTACAGCACATAAATACATTTCTTATCTCCACGGTGACCTCCTATGACATTTGAAACAGATGCCCTCACTCTTGTGGTCACACTATCATGGAAAAAGAAGAAAGACAACAATCAAGAGACAAGAAAGCCACTCATTTTGCATCGCAGAGCAGAAAGGAACAGATCAAGCCAGGAGGTTTTTGTTTTGTTTTTTAAACCAACTAAAAGCACTTCCATAATTTGGACACAGATTGCACCTGTATAAAGGGAATTTGTTTTTTAACGGCCTTATTCATGCAGACTTTGTCAGGAGCATGGTAGGGACAGGCCTGGGCAGCATCTATATAGCAGATACTGGATTTAATGATCTGTCTTACGTTTTCCTCTCTCCCAACATTGACTGGTAACTTTCTGAGTCATGCTTATGTTAACAGGCACAGCTTTTTGCAAAAGTACCAATATTGTATTGTTGCCCATAGAAATCAAAATTTTGTAACAGTATTTTGAATTTGACCACTTTTGTGGAGATTCCTAGCAGATCAATAATCATTTGAACATTTTATTCTAACGTTTTTTCCCTCTAGAATAGCAAGTCTGATATGCAGCTTATGAGGAGACCACTAGCTTGCACATCCTTGTGCAATTAGCTTTAGTCTGCTTTGGATCATTTTCAAGATTTTTCCAGGTAAACTACCTGGCAGGAAATTCACCCAATTAATGGTCAGTCTGAAGCAAGATAAAGGATTTTAATAAGAGCAGAGAGCAGGTAAAAATAGCTTTCTTTGCTGTAATGCCCACCCCACAAAACACTTCTTAATGATCCCCCTCCCATCACTTTCCCCTTTCCTATGTTACTGTGCTGCAGCCAGCCCTCATCAGTTTGCTGAAGCTCACATGCTGTTTGTTACCTCCATCTGGAATGAACTGGAAACGTTATTTCCCTACTTCTTAATTGTTAGCTTCATTTTTTGAAGGGAGTATAGCACAAAATTTACTGGTACCAGTCCCCTTTAAAGCTTGCAAGCATGGTGATTTGATAAATAGGAGGTTTTGAGTACCCTGAGCTTCTAGCTGGTATTGAACTCTTGACACTACCTAAATAAACAGCAAATTTCCAAATTGTTGTTCTGATAACTCCCTGAGATAACTGTAAAGGAGTCACCTGAAGTCATAGAGGTCCTGAGCATCAGGTTAATCTGGGAACATCTCCCAGAAAGCATGAACCATTTGGGAGCAGCTTATTACAATTCCTTCTGTTGCCTTCATGTAAGGAGAGGACTAAGACAGTAAATCTGGAGATACCAATGAGCCTTGAAGCGTATTGTTTGGGAACTGTTGAGTCACAGCCTGAACAACTGAAGGCAATTCAGCTATGTGACTGGAAAGCATGGAGCCTGGCTGCATCTCTCTCAGACCTCACTTAAGGGCTGATTGCCACTAGGGAAGGATCTCTGATTAGAGATCCCTCCCTTGTGGAGTTTTTCCCCTCGAGCCTCGATCTTTGGAGATTAGTGAGCATTCTTTCCCTGTTTGTCCCTTTGCTATTTCACTCCTGTATCACCTTTCCACTGCACTAATCTTTCCAACTGTAGCACATATGCTACATGTTCTATTTTACCACTCCTGAATTAATAACAAACAGCACAGTGTATAAAATTGAATTACCTCAGATTTATTGAGGGCACCTGAGTGTTAAATTATTAAGGTAGCAGGTGTTCAGCTTTATCTATGCTCCTGAATGTTGAGAACTTCTTGGAAGCTGCAGTGACACCAGGCTTACAGCTGTTATGGGCAAGTTTACTATTTCTCATCTTATCAATTGCACTGCAGAATGTATATCACCATATACCCTGTGATTCACAGACCTGATAAAAATTATTTTTCACTTGCCACAGTTTTATTTTGTCAGCACTGACAGGAAAGGAAAGAAAAATTAGTTTCATGTATGTTGGATTGACTTCAGGCTGTCAGATAAATGCAGCCTCCAAAGTACCTTGTCCTGAGCCCTGACGAAGTTAGTGAAATGTAGCAGCGTGCACTGCACTGGTATGGGACAGAATTACTGTGGTTGGAAAAGATTTCTAAGACCATTTAGTCTGACCATCCACCTACCACCAGTATTGCCCCTTAAACCATAGTACCTAAGTACCTCATCTCCACATTTCTGGAATGCCTCCAGGGACAGTGACTCCATCCACCTACTGGGCAGCCTGAGCCAGTGTCTGACCACTCTTTTGGAGAAGAAACTTTTCCTAGTATTCAACCTGAACATCCCGTGGAACAACTTAAAGCCATTCCCTCTTGTCCTATTGCTAGCCACTCAGGAGAAGAGGCCAATGCCAAGAAGCCAGCAGAGATGTTATTTCAGAGCTACAGCTTACTGCACAGAAGTGCTTAACAGACTCTGCCAAGAAACAGCCCTCTACTCCCACCATACAGCAAGTAGAGAACAGCCCCGATGGGCATTTTCCTTCCTCCACCCCCCTGGCTCGCTCACCCCTTGCCTGCAAGGGCAGTGGCAATGCAAACAGCCTGCTCTAAGAAAACCCCTGTTACCATCTGCTCTCCCATCTAGATGGGGAGGAACATCAGAAAAATCTGCAGCTTTATGTTCTTCATCACCACTCACGCAACCTCCCAGGGTCTAAGGCAGCAACTGAGTAATGCACATTGTCCCATGTAGCAGCAGGCTACAACAAATACTGGTTTTGGAGCACTGCACTCTTCTGCTCCCCTTCCTCCCAAGCAGACCCTGTGCTGGCAGTAGGTGCCCTCACCGAGCCCTGGAGCTGCCCCAGCACCCCACACCCTCACCCACCTGTCCTGCTTGCAGCCTAACAGGGCCAGGTTTTTCCTTGCTTGAGTCCATTTTTCCCTGCTGCAAAGCTTCTCCAAGCAGGGTATAGGGTTATTTATTGTGTTTCTCTTAACTTTTCCTTTCGCCTTCCCTCTCATTAAAGCCTGGAGATTGTACAGAGCCTGAAAGTAAATAGAAAATGCCAGGTGTGGGTTTTTTAGGTCACTATAAACGACATGCTTAGCTGCTTTCAGAACGAATAAGCCATGGGATGTCATCTGGGGTAAACAGGGGAGGCTGAGGACTGGAAAGGTGTTGGTATGAATAAATTGGGGTCACACAGAGGAACGGCACTTATGCATTCAAGCAGCTGCTTTTATCTCCACGCTCTCTTCCCTTTTCCTCAAAGCATCCATATTCTGCCAGTAACAAAGATCTTTTTATGTCGCTGAGTTTTCACATTCTGCCAAGCAGCCTATCATAAGAAAGCCCAAATCTACTAAACAGTAAAATGAGGGATTATTTCCACTCATCTGTTGACAGACATTTCTCCAAATTGGATCAAATGATTAAAGGTATTAGAATGACGTCTTGCAGATCCAGATCAAATCATTTGAAACCTTGAGACTGTCTCTCCTTTGCTTGGAAGGAACCACCAGAAATAGTTGTAGGTGCTAATTGCCCATTATTCTTACTCATGTGAATCTGTGAATTTGGACCTTTGAATATCTACTTGCTTGAACCCGCGCGTGGGGAGCTCAAGATGGAAGGACCGTGCAGCACTTCACTTTGGGCTGCGTCGGCCGGAGCTTTTCTAAACGCCTGAATGGTTCTTTCTCGAATCGCTTACACGGAGAAGAGGGGTTCAGGCTGCAAAAGCTTTCAGCGTCTCACATATTGCGACGATGGCACTGCTGAAAGTCAAATTCAACCAGAAGAAACGGGTAAAACTAGCCCAGGGACTATGGCTCATGAACTGGTTTTCAGTGTTTGCTGGAATCATTGTTTTTAGCATGGGGTTGTTCCTCAAAATTGAGCTCCGGAAGCGAAGCGAAGTGATGGACAATTCTGAAAGCCATTTTGTGCCCAATTCTTTGATATTGATGGGTATATTATCCTGCGCCTTCAATGGTTTTGCTGGCAAAATTTGTTACGATTCTCTGGATCCCGCTAAATTTGTCAAGTGGAAGCCTTTGCTGAAACCTTACCTGGCACTATGTTTCTTCTTCAACATACTCCTCTTCTTGGTTGCTCTGATCTGCTTTCTCATGCGGGGCTCCCTGGAGAGCACGCTGGCTCAGGGGCTGAAGAACAGCATGAAGTTCTACCGGGACACAGACACCCCTGGAAGATGCTTCATGAAGAAGACAATTGACATGCTCCAAATCGAGTTCAAGTGCTGTGGGAACAATGGCTTCAAAGACTGGTTTGAAATTCAGTGGATCAGCAACAGATACCTGGACTTCAGCTCCAAAGAAGTGAAAGAGTAAGTGATTTAGCGGGGTTTGTATTGCATAGTCTCATTATTTGGTCAGTGCTGTGCTGGTGAAGCATGCACCAAAACAGATGCTGACTGGATATTTTTTTGTGTAAAATGCTTTTTTTAATCGGCACTTGCTTTAATAAGGATGTCAAATATTCTACTAGGTTAGTTTCTCATCTGCCAAATTCCTCGAACATTATACAGAATGTAAAACATAAAGCAGAGAAATACAGTTCCTGCTCTTACATGCTGCAATGTAAACAAACTTCCAAAATATTCTTCTGTATCTTTTACATCTTTATAACTCATTACGTGGAGCCTATTCCCGAAATCTAGTGTATGACTAACAGCAAAGTAGCAGAACCCCACTGTATGAAAAGGAGATTTCTGTGAGACCTACGCTCCTGTTCAGAGGCTTCCAGATAGACACGGTCAGTGCCACTTTTAGAATTCCACCTTAGATATTGGTAGTTAATCTTTAAGAAACAAGCAGAAACACTAACACTTTAGTAATAACCCATATGTTTTATATCCTTTAGATTTAGAATTTCATTTTAAAATTCACTCACTTCACTGAAGCTGATTGCTTCAGCTCCGAGACAATTCAGAGCTGTCAGCATCGGTTAACATTCCCTGCTTTACATATTATCTCTTATAGGAGTTGGACTCAATGATCCTTATCCCTTCCAACTCGAGATACTCTGTCATTCTGTAGTCAGATGCATTGTATGTTCTCTCTCGCATACAAACACATTCAAAATCTATACTAGTGCTTAATTTTTTAAACCTGATAAGAAAATATCGCTATCTTCCTCTTTGCAAAGCAGAGCATGTTGTTGAGCAGAAACACCGTAGTGGCACTAATGCCAGTGTAAAAAGAGGTATTCATCTCAAAATAAGTTTAGGTATATCAGCACACGTAAAAAATAAAGCTAATGAACTTTTGAAATGAAGAGGTGAATTCTTTGGGAATGTCACTCGTTAAGTGGGGCACTTTGTGGTTACACAGAGGGGCCTTCTGCCTTTGAGATATCCTGCATATGTTAAAAATGCCTGAAGTAATCTTGAAAAAAGCTTCATGTACCTCATGGGATCCCTGCTTGACTGTGTAAATGCGATTTCATTTGTGTGCCTCTGCTTATTGCTTTGCCAAGCTGGGTGGTCTGCTTATTTTTACAATTCTCAACCAGGACAATATAGTGAAAACTCCTCCAGGGACAACCTATTGCACTGCAGGGTTAGAACAGATACATTCACTATTTAATAAAGGAGTATTTGTGTTGAGATGGTATGCTCATGGGTATAAATAACTTCTTAGAAGTGTAATAAGTTCACCTTGCCAGCATTATACGGAGATTTGAGAGCTGTATCTTAATCCAGCAGCAGTGGAAGGGCAAAGCGCGGAGGGAAAACGAGGTTATACTGCCCTTAATAAATTATGTCTTATTTGGGACTGAGAGAAATGGCAGTTTCTTTGTGCTGCTGAAAAAGGAAATAGAGCATTAAAAATCAATCCACAAGTGGTTGTTAATGAGGGAAATCAGGGTTTGAACTACAAACCCTGAGGCAAGATCTCTGCTCACATTCCTGGTGGAGGTGTTCTGGCCCCTCTCAGGTCAGTAGAACGTTCCCCTTGATTCCAGGGAAGTCTATCCTCTGCAAAGCAATTTTCATATAATTCATAGAATGAAGGCCTGATCCAAACTCTCTGAAACTGGTGGAGCAGTCAGACATCAGTAGGAATTAGACCCAAATCAAACATCTACAGATAAAACCTGCATTTGGCATTTAAATGTATTTAGGTCATGACTGCAAAGTGGTATTTTGCCTTACTGGCCTTTTGCCATCATCTCTCTCCACAACACAACTTTAAAAAATTCATATTAAAAGCTACAAGCAACTCTCAGATCTTTTTCACCTTTCTAGATCACTGGGGCTCTCCATTCTGTACCATTTTCTTAGTGAAATGATATTTATTAGAGTTGCAGTGCTCTTATAGTTTTCTCCTGTGGTCTTGGTGGAACTACTCTCAGCTTAAACATCTCACGTCTAAACAGCTCAAGAAGGCACCAGACTAAAAGGCTATTTATTGGGAGCAACCATGGTCTCGAATTACAGTTGGGAAGCCCTTGCAAAGGCTTTATGAATTCAACAACTTACAGCTGAAATACATTTCATGTTTTCAATACTGGCTACTTCTGTGGCCAGGAATAAATGCATAGCCCCTTCCTGGAGCTACATCACAAAGCAGATACTAGATTTGCTGGACCAGTGGTCTAGCTGGATATGGTGAGTTGTTGTGGGTCCTTTTCCAAGGTCACTTCCAGTAGTCTTTCCACCCTATCTATGCTGTGATCACTCTTTTTCTGAATGCCTTTCATGAATTTTCTATTTTTCTTAAAAATTTAAATTCTTTGAAGGTCAGAGGACATATGTCTATACCAAAGAGCTAAATATAGAATCAGTGTAGCCTTGACCAAAACCAGCTGAGGGGAATGGTGCTGAGTAAACAGGAGATGTGGAGAAATTGCACATCCAGGAAGCATTGTGGAAAATCTTCATTGCCTCACTTCCTTTTCTCATTCACTTTGGTGTTTCTTTACATGTACAAGTGTGTATTGATGCTTCCTTCTGCCCTTGCCTGCATGCAGTCGAATCAAAAGCAATGTGGATGGACGGTACCTGGTTGATGGTGTCCCCTTCAGCTGCTGCAACCCCAGCTCCCCAAGGCCCTGCATCCAGTACCAGGTCACCAACAACTCGGCTCACTACAGCTATGACTACCAGACGGAGGAGCTCAACCTCTGGGGCCGTGGCTGCCGGGAGGCCCTCCTGCACTACTACAGCAGCATGATGAGCTCCATGGGTGCTGTCGTCCTCCTCGTCTGGCTTTTTGAGGTAATCTGTCAGCATGGTAATGCTCACCCCTAAAAATTTGCTTAAAATATATCAATCATCCACCATCATTCTATGGCCAGGAAATCATAGAAGGTCCCAGGCTTGAGATGGAAAGCCCAGAAAGGGCTGAGGTTACTCCAAAGTAAGTCCCATCAGGGTCTTGAATGTCCCCACAACCAGGAGAACAAGCAGACCAGCTTTGTGCCTGATGCAGAGCACTGGGTGGGGAGTGTGAGAGCTCAGTTCTCCAGGAGAATTACTTCTACCTGTGTCACACCCTAATGGGCAATAGAAAGTGCTCAGAGCAGTGTACCAGAGTGAGATGGCAGAAAGTTGTGGGGTATAAAGTGGAATTAAGTGTTTTATGTGATGATAAAAATAAAACCTGGAGCCATGTGCAGTGTCCAGCTTCAGATCAGCATTTGGTTTAAGGTTCTCCATCAGCTTTGTCAACCTTTTTGGTCACAAGATGGAATTTCGGCAAAGCAGGCAGATAAGTTTTGGTTTGGTCTGCTATCAAGAACCTCAGTGTGTGTGCAAACTGGTGCTGACATGGTCACCATCACCTGAAGTGCAGCTTTGTTGTTAAAATATTGTTCATTTGATGTGAGAAAAACACATCCCTCTGCCCTTCAGAGGCAGACAATTTTCTCACTGAGGTGTTTAATCAGAGCTAATGTGAAGGCTGTGTGAGCTGGAAGAGACATGGGGGCAGGCACGAGTGCTGGGAGCTGCTGCCCAATGACATCGGCTGTCTCGAATGATCGGGCTGGCTTTTTCAAAATGCAGATGAACACAGATGAACAAAGAAGCACTGCGTTGTGATGCAGGTGTTGGTTTACAGCCTTCCAAGCAAACACTTCTCCTAATATCCTGTGAGGGATAAGAAAACCATCACATAGTTACTTCGTGTTTTGTTGTAAGAACAAGCACTCTGCACGTGTGAGCAATGTACTGTCTGCCTGTAGCACCATTACCCTGGTCAGAAAGCAGAGAGAAGGCTGCAGCATGTGCCTCAGCACAGACACAAAGGCTGAGTCCTTGAGGACAGGGCAGCTCTGCTGTACATGAAATTCAAGAGATCCAAAACTCAGGCGTTGCACTGCACAAAAATGCTGTGAAAAAATCATGAGCAGGAGTCTGTAATATAACTCTGCTGCTTTCTGGGAGAGCAGTGATGATGATAATGTTAATAGCAGCAATAAAAATACTGCATTTTATTTCTAACTTTTCAAATTATACCCTGGCAGTGTTTTCAACCTGTGGAATAATGAGGAATTTGATCTTCCCTTCTTTTTCCTTCATCTTTTTTGAAATAAAAGGTGAGATTTTTTTCAGGTAATCAGAGGACTCTCCAGGTAAAGCTTTAGGGAACTCTCGCCTGCACTCACAAGCCTGGGTTCTATTAATTGTCCTTCTGGGTATTTATGACTTGCCTGATATTCCATAATAACAAAGCCATATCCGGGTCTCAAACTTCCTCTGCTGTTTAGAGGAACTTTGAAGGGAGGAAGCAAAGCAGGAAGCAGAGACCTCTCTTGGAACACAATCACTTTCTTTAAATTGCAATCAGGGTAGGAAATGGTTCTGTGCTGAGCTGCAGTGCAGCAGAGACCCAGGGCTCTTGGCAAAGGCTGGGCTTCAGCCTCACGAGGGTGTGACACAGAGAGAACAGGCCTAAGGGACCCTGCCAGTGGGGCCAGAAGGACCAGGGGGTGGGAAGTGTGGCATGATCCCAGAGAGATGTCCCCATGGATGTTACTGGCACGATGAGATGCCAGAGCACCACTGGGCAGGCTGCTTGGGTGTCAAGTTTCTATACAAACCTACTATGAAGTATTCAGACCTCTATTTGAAAAAAAGTGCAGCCTGTCGTATTTTCTGGAAGTGTATAATTATCCGCATGCTGCTTGTACTAGCAAAGCTGTAGGATTCCCTGGAGTGACGGTCAGTCATGAGGGTGACAAAAAAAGATCACAATGTGCCCTGGCTAAGCCGCCTCAGGCTAAAACCTGGCAAACAGATGGGCTTGGCTGCAGAAGGTCAAGCAGAGCAAGCTCAGCCATCTTAGTGACTTTCTCAGCCAGAAAGAGGAAACTAGGGGGTTGAAGAGTGCATTTCAAAAGCAAGGATGGGAAGCTGGCTCCCCACGCAGTTTGTCTGTTAGCCAGGGCAAATCATCACTCTGCAAAACTGGGCTAGCTTTGCGATGCCCTTCTCTTCTGAATTGTGATTAAGCACAGATTTACAACTCAGAGCTTCACAAACTGAGTGGGGTTAGCAGGAACCTCTGAAGGTCATCTGTTCCAAGCCTCCTGCTCAAGCAGGGCCCCCTAGAACATCTTGACCATAACCTTGCCCAGGAGGCTTCTGAAAATCTCCAAAGATTGAGACTTCACAGCCTCTCTGGCTGCGCCCATGCTTAGTCACCCTCATGTTAAAATAGCTTTTCCTGATGTTTCAATTTGTGCCCGTTGCCACTTATCCTGTCACTGAGCACCAGTGAAAAGAGCCAGGCTCCGTCTTTTCACCCTCCCTTCAGGTATTTATACACATGGATAAGATCCTTCTGAACCTTCACTTCAGGCTGAAGCAGGCCCAGTTCTCTCAGCCCTTCCTCACAGGAGAGGTACTCCAGTCCCTCAGTCATCTTCATGGCCCTACGCTGGACTCTCTCCAGTCCATGTCTCTCCTGCATGGGGAAGCCCAGAACTGGACCCAGAACTCCAGGCAAGGCCTTACCAGTGCTGAGGAGAGGGGAAAAAATCACTTCCATCAACACGTTGAAAACAATTTCCTAAAGCAGCCCATGGTACCATTAGCTTTCCTTGCCACAAGGACACATTGCTGACCAATGTTCAACTCAGTGTCCAGCAGGATTCCAAGGTCATTTTCTGCAGAGCTGCTTTCCAAAAGGCAGATTGCCAGCCTGTACTGATGCCTGGGGTTGTTCCTTCCCAGGTTCAGGACTCTGCACTTGAAGCTGCACTTGAACTTCAAACTTGCTTCAAACTTCCCATCCATCCATTTCTTCAGACTGTCGTGATCTCTTAAAGTATTTCTATACACTTAGCCCAATTCAAAGTATCTCTACAAAGCTGAAGTGTGATGAAGCACTAACATACATTTCTGAATTAACAGAGAAGTCCAGCTGCCATTCATAATTTCTCTGAGAATGAGCATTGTGTGCTGCTCTAAGTGTCCTGGCCAGGGCTCAAAAATGGAAAGAGATGGGGCTATTGGAAAGCTGTCTGCATTGGAGGTTCCGAATAAATAATTTACAACATAAATTACTTCAGTAAAACTGAATGTGGGAAAAGGGTTCAGCAGATAGTTGTTTCTAACTTCCTGGACCCTCTTCTCATCCAACAGAGAAGGCAGGTTCAGATCAGAGGTGGCAAGAGCTGAAGAACTTAGGACTGCTTTTAGCAAGCCTCTTAAACCTAGGGACTCAAAATATTTCTGACTATGACTTTTAAGGAAAGGAAGTCTTAAACTGAGAGAAAATGTCATAGAATCTCACTTGCAGGCAGGTCTGCCGGTCCCTTCAACGTAAGCAGTTTCTTTTTTAAAGCAAGACCATATTTAGTGACTAATTTCTCTCCAGGAAGCCTGAGAGTATGATTAATTACACTGCCAAGTAGTGGGACTCAGTACATCAGTCACAAGAGAAAGCTACTGCTGACATACAGTGAGGAGGCAGAGGTAAAGAACAACACAGAAACCACCTTTGAAGCCCAGTCCTATTAATATATTAATCTTCACCTGCAACAACCTTTGATATGAAAGTTATTAATCCCATTACTGACAGCAGGAAAAATGGGGCTCAGAGTGAAAGGAAGATTCCAGACACTTAAAATCTTACAACTAGTATGATGTAATTTATCACTTCTTGTGGCCTTTATAGAAGTGTGCTACAACCGATTTACACCACTGTAGTATTAGGTAGATTCAGAACAAAGTAGGACTGTCTCCAGATTCAGATCTATGAGAACCTTTTTTGAGGACCAAGGAGTCAAGGAGATTGCATTCCTATGTTAGACAGGATGAGACGTTGCTTTTGGAGATTGAAGTACTTGATGAAATTTGTTTGTTTGGCTGAAGCCTTCCCCTTTATGGCCTTGGGTGAAGACAGAAAAACATAAACATCTGAAAATGCTGATGGTTGCTTTTGTCTTCCACGAGTTTGGAGATGCTGATCATACAGAGACAGCACAACCAGGATAAGAAGGTTAAGGAATAGTCCACAGAAGCACAGGCTTGACCAGTCCTGTGTTTTAAAGGAGTCCAAAAGCCAGATGTGAAGTTTACAATTAGCCATGTTATGGGTCAGAATCCCAGACTGGCTACCTGACACAATTTGCAAGTGTTCTCCATCTTCATCTTTACATAGAGGATGTTGCTGCATCCTGACCACTTTCTCAGCCAGTCCATCAAGCTGGCTCTTTTTGGCACCTTCTTTCTGTATTTCGCAGATTTCACAGCCATATTTCACACTTTTTCTCATAAGCACCACACAGCTGGAATCAGATTGCTCTCAACAGTGATAGGAAACCGGCAGCTTTAGCAGGGTGAGCGCTGTTCTGCTGATAGCAGAGGTCAGCAAAGACACAAACAGGGATAGGAAGCTTTTCCTGACTGTCCCTCTCTTTTCCATTGCATGGTGCAGATGTCCGTGATGGTTGGCTTGCGTCTTTTGCACACCTCTCTGGAAAGCATCACAAATCCTGAAGACCCTGAGTGTGAAAGTGAAGGGTGGATTCTAGAGAACAGCCTGAAAGACACTCTGAAGTCTGCATTGGAGAGCTTGAAAAAGATTGGTAAGTTCAATCAGGTGGAAGCAGGTGCCGAAGGGGCTGAAGGAGAAGAAGCTGGGAAGACTCCAGCCATCACAACAGTCAGTTGAGCTTCTAAATGATGTGAACTCTGATCAAAGAGGAATGAAAAAACTGAGGATTGTGAATACCTACTTTTTAAAAGCTATGTATCAACCATCAGAATACACATTTCTACACATGCTATTTTTTATTATTATTATGCATATATACGGAAGGATACAGCATAGTGCACCTTGGGATAATGCATTTATCCACTCAGTGAGTACACCATATTCATTGCTTCTGGGGGAAAATGACTCCACTAGGACTTTCAATACTCACACGTTCCCTTACCAGGGACTGCTAGCATTAAAAAGAAATCATAATAATTGTTGGCATCACACCGTTCCATTCCATCTTATTTTGAAATCAAAAGTGGAATCTGAAATGTTAGCATTTTTTCTCAAGTTGGCTTACCATCATACTTAATGTACGTTAACCTAGAAAGACAGATGTCTTGGTTTTCTGGAGAGTAATGTATTAAAGTCAAAGGAAGAATAATTTCCAGAACTGTATATAATAACTTAGTGTTTTGACAAACCTCTCCTATAATGTGTTTTTTTTGTTAATGTGCTAAGCAATGGTATTTTCTGCTGTATTTTTAAGATGTACTTAATAGAACAAAACAAAAAGTTATTCTGAGAACTTAAGTACTAAACAAAAATTGTAACTTAAAGAACAGAGCAAGCACAAAAAGAACACCAAGGTAAGATTTATGGGTTTTGTTCTTGTTTGTTTTTTTTTTGTATATCAGTATATTCAGTATATCCTGAATGAACGCACTGTAGACTTAAGCTTCACCTTGTACTCAAACAAGCAGAAGTTTAGAAGATTCCTCTTGTAGTGGGTGGAATCAGTGCTATGAGCATGTGCCAGTCATGGCTATTCTGGATGTTTATAAATACATAATCTCATAGCTTTCTCCATGGCATTCAAGCCCAACTACTTTTAAATTTAAAATTAAAAGAAAAAAAGGAAAAAAAGGAAAAAAAAAAAAAAAAAAAAAAAAGGACTCTTAGAAAAAAGACTTTGAATGTTTTCCAGTGTCCTAGCAAATGGATTCCATTCATTGGTAAGTACATCACGCCTCAAACTTCGAGGCTGCAGAAATGTAAGTTTAAATCTGCCCCCAGCTTGCAAGCTTTACAACACTTATTTTTCTTCATCAGTGACCAAGTACCCTTCATTGTACCTTACAAGTCAAAGGGAAGGCACATTTTGCATGTGCTGCCCGTCTCTAAACATTGGTCATAGCTGGAGGACCCCTTTTTTAGTACATAAAGTTGCAATAAACCATGGGAAGCTTGCTGTGGTGTGCATCCTCCAGTGAAGGAGCAGAGCATCATCTTGAGTCTTCCTGCAGCTGCGAGATAAGTTCAGCTAAAGGGAAAGAGACCAGAGAGCGCAAACACTAACCTTCCTGTTCCACACACCACTATCAGCTAAGAGACAGATCCACACTTAGGTTTTGCTCTGCTGTGCAAAACTTCTACTCTTCTGTGGTGCACCTCGTGGAGTTTTCTCAGCAGGTCCTGTCCATCTGGCTGGTGGCCGTTCTCCAAACGAGCCATGTTCATGGCTGCCTAATCACTGCACAGCTCGTTGGGTTTCATTCTCAGTCGCTTGTGCTCTGATTCCAGCATCCCTGCAGAACCACAGCTCCTGTGGCTTTTGTTCAGAGTGATAAGCAGCTCCTCCTAGATGGGCAGACCAGTCCGTGACAGGACAGGTAGGAATGTGTCCGTGCATCAAGCCAGTGTCTACGTCCCAGTGGCCAAACAGTTTCAGGCCACCTGCACACAAGGCTTGATTTTGACAGGTATTTATGGCACCCTTTCATTTTTTTTAAAGCTGATGACAGCTTTAACCTTTAGTTACAATAAAGAAGAAAAAAAGCAAAGCCAACTCTGAAGTACACACAAGAGCAACCGGAAAGAGGGGACCAAGTTAAAAGCCAACTTGCTATTCACCACAGCCTATCGTTGATTGCTTTGCTGAGGGAAACTGCACAGCAGAATTGTTGGGTAGAGCAGAGCAGATGCTTTCTTCTCAGTGAGAAATCCATACAACCAGCTGTTCGTCTCAGCTGGCCCGTGAGAGAAGAACAAGGCTTCCAATGGCATGTGACGTAGCCCCATTTGTCAGAGAAGAGCTTTTTGGAGGAAACACATTATGACTAGGGGCTGCATTACAAGGATTACAGTTTTTCCTTGTGAAGTTTCAGTGTGCTGTGATCCACACAGGTTTTTTGGCCAGACATCAGTCTTTACAAAGAGATCTAGATCTACTGCTGTCTTAGCAATTTGGTATAGGATGTTCCTTTAGACAAGACTCTGCAGTTGTTTGTGGTCTCTATTCTATTCAGTTTGTTGCTAGGGAGACAAATTGTCAAATTATTACTTCAACACCACCTTGGAGAAGCCAATTCCAAGAGCAATGCTGTCACTGCATAAGTTGGGTAGAGACCATCAGAGGCAGGCTTATGAAGAATAATACTGGAATTGGGGTTTTGTGCAAGTAAGAACCAATAGTGTGTATGCTCATGCTGTCTAAAATAAAGCCTCCTGTTTAATGAAGATCTTTGTAACATCTCATGATTATTACAGAATTGTAATATGGTTGTTTTGTAAAATATTATATGTAATATATCATTGATTCAATCTTTAATATATTTTCTTGTGACATGGCAAATGCTGTTCTAGATGAAGATATCTCTGCTGCACGCAAATGTGAGTTTAGGTATTAAAATTCTGTTGCAAGTAAAAAACCTCTTTAAAGAAAATGTTTAAAAATGCATACAATTTAATACAGATTTATTTAATTTGCATTACTGCTGACTTTTTGCTTCCATGGTCATTTTCTGACCCATTTGATGTGTTCTCACAGGGAAGTTTTCACCTTTATAAAATGGCTCAGAGAAAGCAAAACTTCCTCATGTCTTGTGCCAAGCCAAGCTCAGGATGTACAGAATGCTAATTTGTTTTCCTTTTACTAGAAAGAGAATTTGCCAGACCAATTCAGCGTCCCCTTTTCCAGTGTGCCAGAATCATATCATCTTCACAGCACTTGTAGAAATGCTCAGCATCTTCAGGGTCTTTGACAATCATCTCAGCTGGGTTTCTAAGTCCTTTTTTCCCCCTCAATGCTCAGTCACAACAGACATTCTGAAGTACTTCTTCAGTTTGAAATTTGCACCTGAAGCCGATGTAGCCAGATGTGCCTGAAGCGACCTGAGAACTTCCTGAGCACTGCCCTGATTCTCAGATAAACTTCAGAAAGATGTGTGCTTAATTGATATGAACTGGGACCTTTCTTTTTAGGGGCTTCCATATGGATTACTGGCTTAAATCTCAGTACCCAGACCTGAGAGCCAGCCCAAGGCCTTGAAGTGCAAATTGTTCAGAAATATCCTTTATTTAGAATATATGCCTGCACACATTTGTTTGAACTGACACAGAACATTCATTAAACGCTTTAAAGGAGAAAATATAAACAGCTTCCTTAAAGCTATTAATTCCTAAGTAGCCTTAATACAACTGATGAGATTAGCCTCCATGCATTACATGAGCTTGGACATTTTGTAATACCACCAAAGGCATGCACGTGGCTTAGCGGGGAGCATGAGGCTCTGCGTATCCCTCACCAGTAGGCAGGGAAGGCCGATACAAAAAAACAGGAATTTCAGCACAACTGTTCCTTTTCACCTGGTATCTATGTATTTTCAGGTTAAAAATGAAGAAGTACTACCTGTCCCATGGTCAGTGAAAAATGGGGACGGATCACAAATGCTTATTCAAGGAAAAAAAAAAAAAAAAAAAAAAAGTAAAGAGCATTATTAGAGATTAGTTAATTAAGAGATAAGGACAGAAAAATAGAATGGTGTCATGTGGTAACAGCCCTCTGCCGGAGACGAAGGCTTAGGCAAATGCATTTATTTATGGGAACGTGAATGCAGCTATCTCTATGAAATTGTCTGTGCGATGAGATGAGATCTGTGCTGCTGGGCGACTGACTCAAACACGGCAGCATTTTGCAGCCCCAGGCTGCACATGGTGCTGGAGCACAGGGCCTGGCAGTCCCTACAGAGCCTTTGGCACCACATGGCGCAGAACCAGCCCCACCTCGCCAACAGCGTGCTCCTGCCACCAGTCACCAACGGAGCTCATTACAAGGTTCATTTCCAAACCCTGGCGCACTCTTTGTTCTCAGAGCCATCTTTTCCACAGCAAAGGCAAACCTGAGGATCAAAGGCCCCAGGAAAACTCAGCAATTCAGGGATCAAACAGCAGGTCCACACGCCAGCATCTGGGCACACTCACACATCTTCACCTGGCGTCTGGCATCGCACTCCCAGGGCACAGTGCTGAGGTTCAGAGAGGAAGGACAGGCCTGTGAGGTACAGCACCAGGAAGCATTGCTTCCCAACAGCAAGCTAGGCCAGGCTGCCTTGTTGGGATGGAAATGAAGTTTTTCTCTTCTTGAAAGACTTCAAATCTTTCTGAAATCACTTTGAAATGTGCAGTAGAGAACCCAAGGCCTTCAAACTGCTCTCCTTCCCAGAACTGCTCTCCCCCCCCCCGGCGCAGCCGAGCTGGAGAGATCACAAACTCTCTCACAGGCATAACGCAGCTGTGTGCAGCCAGGGTAGCTCCTTCACCTGCCAACCTGTTCCCAGCAAGCAGCCCCCAAATGCAAAGCTTCCTTGCTACAAACTGCTTTCAGCCTTCCCAGGTCAAGCCTTTTCTAAGAGAAGAGTGCAGCTCTGCCTCGGGCAAATGCTTTTGCAGATGAGATGAATTTTCCCATTGATGCTCATGCTCTGTCTGGCACAAATAACCAAACTGAAGATGATAAAAAACCACAGGTGCAAAGCACAAACAAGTTCACATGCATGAATCTGTCATTAATTGTAAAATTTAAGAGCAGAAATAAAATTCTGTAATGTTGCTGTAGGCATATTTTAAATAAATTACAACAGCATTTTTTATTTCAACCTCAGAATCAAAAATTAACAAGTACCTAAAATTTA